TACTCAGAGTCGTGGAATTTCTCATGTTTTAGAAAAATGTTTGGACTACAATTTCATATAAGTAGAAAAATTTCAGCATTATCTTTAACAAAAATGGATAAGTCGAATGATGAATCACTGATAACTGCAAGAGGCACAAGTTACTCTAAGTTCACTGTTTATCTGCATTTTTAGATGAAAATGCACTCGTAAAACGATTACTCCATATGTTAATCAAATTGAGCATTCTAAAATGCACCAAATACAGGATAAAAACCTGTTCGAACAGATTCTTTTTCTAACTTTAATGCATTTTAGAATGCTCGCATTTTTACTAGAAATAACTTCAAAACTTTTTTCACAGTTGAGTTTTCAAAAGCAAACATTTCTGTACCGGATGAGAGACTCTGCGACTCTGCGTATAATTCTGCATAGGCGACTTAGAACAAGTTTTGTGGAAACCGTAACACCAGTTTTTAACCCCTAATCTCAATGTCAAAGAATATACAGTAATGAAATTATTCATAAAAATTCGAATGAATTACTATTATTATTAGAAAATAAAATAAATCAAGTTATTAATGAATATAAAAAATCTTTTACTAATATTTTAGAATCTAATATGATTAATAATTATCAATATCAAAAATGATCAAATGAATCACATAAATTTAAAAAATTAACTAGAAAATTAAAGAGAAATACTCAGAAATTAGTTGATAAAATCGGCTTATTAATCTGGAAACGAAAACAATATAAAATTTAATTTGACTTAATTAAAAAAAGAGAAACTATTAAACAAAATGTTCAAAAGCAAAAAGTATGTCTGATAATGATTTTACTAGTTTATTAGAAAATTTATGTAATGAAAGTGGTATCTTATGGTTAAATTTAGATTATGATAATTTGATTATAATGTTGCAAGCTAGAGGAAGCGAAAAAATATTCTAAGGGAATCGTTACGGTTTGAAGTGGGAAAAGCCAGTTTTTGAGAAATATCGTAGGAAAAGAATCGTGTAGAAACTCGAAATCTGCTGTCTAAATGCATCCGAGTGTGACCTACATTTTGATATAAAGCTTGAATCATAAACATTTTGACATCGAGAGAAAATCGGACTATTGGGTCTTACGCGTAAACCTATAATCCTATTTCAATGAAGCGGTTTTAAAATCTGTGATGGAACAGAAAAGATAGCCGATGTTCTGAAGTATAAATTCATATTTAGAGATAGTTTTTAAAGTTGGTTTCTGTAAGTGCAAAAAATAGTATTCAAAACGTAATGAGAATGATCGATTTGTGGTACCCTCTCTTCCGCTCTCTATATCTCGAGAATTAAGGGATACTAGTTATACCATTCTCTAACTACATATAGATGTACAACTCGTATAAATGGCATATAAATCTGTGACATCAACGATCACTGTTTGTCTAACTCTACCGGATATTGGCTCTTAATGTAGTATTCAAATAAGTTAAAAATCCACTGACTAAAAAATTAATAAATGATTCGATAATCATCCATTCGCTATTCTTAATAATACTTTTTTGTGAAACTCCTTCAGTATCTCCAAAGGAGAAGGAGTTGAAGTTTTATACTGATAGGTCATCTCAGAGGTAAACGTCCGTCCACCATGGACGATCGAACCAGGGCTTGGCAACTCCAACTTCGGAGTTGAGGATTTTTTTAGTGGAGCTGGAGTTGACCTTGACGGAGTTGAAGTTGAGATTTTAGTAGGCTAGAGTTGGGTGTAAACTGATCTTCTAAACGAGTGAGTGGCTGTATTCACCAGTGAATTCGGAAGTTCTTTGCGCTTTCTTACCGAAAAAAAACTCAAAAACGTCCAGAATCCTGCTAAAAAAAGAAAAATCTTCCTTACAAAAGTAAAGCAACCGGAGTTGAACGGGATCTGAGCTTTTGTTGAGAGAGTTGGAGTTGGAGTAGAGTCAGAGTTGAAAGTCAGCGGAGTTGCCTAGCTCTGGTCCGAACCGACATGTGTCAAAACCGGACGCTCTATTTTGTAACTGTATCTAGTTTCTTGGGTTAAGAGCTATCGCCTTGAGTCATACGTACAAGAATCGCCTTGGAATGAGCTTTAAAAGTATGTGTGTCGATTTTTAAAATTCATCTTCCTTGATAGACATGTAAAAAATATATCTGTAAAACAAATATTTATGACAAATGAAATTAATATCTAATTCATTAAAATCAAATAAAACATTAATAAGTTTAATTGTTAACATTAATAAGTAATACTTGTTTGACGCGTGTGTGAGGGATGAATTTAGAATTAAGCTTACAGACAATAATCCATATCGATTATTAATAAAAGAATCTTTGGCAATTTTAAGTCATAAACTCAAGCAGGACGTTCTACAAATATTCATCTATTCTATGTCCAAAAGAAACAATACTCACTGTGAATTTAACCTATATTCTATTAACTTCTCGAATTAGAATTAAATTAACTGGAGTGAACACAATTCTACTTGTTATATCAGAGAATAATTTCAGATTCAAAAGCCGAATACAAATGAATAGACTAATATTTTTATTGCCTATCGATGTATCAGAATTATGCGTAATCAAGATATAATTAGCTTTAATCCTTGGATGATAATCTCTAAAAACTAGCAGATTCAGTGAATCAACAAATAAATTGCGCCTGATTGATGACCTAGACAGAGTTCGCCATTGGATTTTGGTAAATACAAAACGATGATTTTCTCGACAACGATTCAATATTTTTCAAAACGTACACGTAACCTTTTATCGATAGGTGTACTGATACGCACAAATATGAAGACGATTTAGTCTTTGAACTAAAAAGGTAGATATATTTGGAAGATGGACGGTACAAATTACAAGAATTCCACCTGTATTTCAAGAGTTTATCTTCCATTTTAAGTTTAAATTTGAGTAAATCTGGTCTTTCATAGTCAAGCTTTCATCACAAAACACAAAATAAAGCTTTGGACGTTTATAAATGCAATAAACGTTAAAATTTCTAAAAAACCGAATAGCTGGGAAATAAAGGAAAGGAAGAAAGTAATTTTTTTGTGAAAAACAGCATCACACAATTCTTCTTTCACTCGCTGTTATATGCATCAAATCGAAACAAAATAACACATCAGGTGCAGTCCTTTTTGATATTTTGACTATATTTTTCAATCTTTTGATTATTTCCACAATAACGTTGAATATCATTATCATTATATTCAATACAATAACGAATACAATTCAAATAATACATGCACGTGATTGTGTCATTTTCAGGCACATTTGCGACCATCATTGTGTCTTTTAAACAAACGTTTGTCGCCTGCAAATATGCCATTTTCTATTCTTCACTATATTCCGTCTGTATATGTGTAGAATCTGGATAAGTCTTGGCATGTGACAACTCATCTACAACTTACACGCTAGTACAAATCCCGCGAGAGAAAGTGAGTCACTCATTATGTCTTCAAAAAATGATCTGTACATTATTTGGTAAGAGAATAAAAACAAAAAAAAATTCCTTAACGTTGAGAAAAGATCATAGATGTTATATGGTTGAGTGTGATGCACGCAGTTGAAATAGAATAATATTTTATAGGAAAAAGAAGCAATGTGAAGGTTTTCAACGATATTGTGTCATTTATTTATATTGTATGGTCATTCTTATCATTACACTGCATCATATACCGTAAATACATTATGGTACTCTAGAGTATAATTGAATTAAGTGAGGAGCATCGCACTTCAATTAGTGGTGCGCTCATGTCAAAAAAAGCTAAAGGTACAGTTGAATCTCTTTGGTTCTGCAAACATCATTTATGTCACATAGTTCTGTGTGGAATGCTGTATTGAAATGCACTATTATTTCTGCTGTTATTCGATATAAGCTTATATGGAGGAAAGAAACGAAAAATTTAGTTATCAGCATATCATGTCAGTCTAAATTACGTTGAAATTTGTCTATCCATGTCAAAATTTCGTGAGTCGTTTTTGCAGAGAATTGCAAAAAATTCAGGTCCGTTATTTTGCAAAAACCTATAGTAAAATTTCCGTGTCTCACGTAACATCGCACGCATGAATTATCTTCTACGTTTTTTTTGCAGAAATAAAAAGTTTTGCGGAAAAGATCATCGTTTTTCAGGCATAAAATATTATATGTGTAGTTACCTTAAAGCTTCATGCGGTGTCCTGAAAATCACCGGCAGGTCCATCAAACCCGCCAATAGGTAACCCTTGCGGCTTGATCCGCGGACCAACCCCACCGCTCTGCTCGAAGCTAAAAGGAGTCACTTAGAGAAATCTCTAAGTAAATTTTCAGTGTAAAAGGATCGCTTATAGCAATATGTGCAAAAAAAAAGATTCTACGATAAAAGACAAAAAGCTGTTGTGTTCTTCATTAATTTTGCAGAGTAAAAATACAGAACGCATATAAGAACCATGCGTTTTCTGGTGTTGCGTTTAGTGCTGCCATTTCTGCGGAAATCGTGAAAAAATGTTAACATGGGTAGTATGATCTTTTGGAGATGTGAGGTGTTAAATCAAAATGATCTGTAGAACATTTATATTATTTCTCTTTGACCTTTTTTTATCAAATCTTAATGTCAGAATAAATTGACTGATTTATAAGAGAGCATTTTTTTTTTTCTTCCTTTTCATTTTTCTTTCTATACATACACTAGACGAAATATATGAATAGAAAAATTACATCCATGTTCATTTCTGAGGTCAAAATTTTCTGCATATGTCAAAAACAATTATATTGCCAAAACTGTATGTGTTGATATTTTATAAAAATAAAATTTTATTGTTTCTTCTGTATGTTCGACTTTTGTATCAACTGTGTCTTTTGGACGAACGTATCATATTAAGAAGTGTTAATTGAAATTTCTTTTTAGTCAGTGTATTTAAAGTAAAATTCATAACAAGTTACATGACGGTTCAGTTATTGCCATATATATATTTTATATATACAACAAAAAAACTGAATTGATCATAACTTCAAAAGAATTTTAAATAGTAACCATGTCAAAAACACAGACAACATCTAGTACTTTTTCATTTCCATTACTTACGTCAATTTCTCAATTCATAATACGTCAAAAAAGACAATTAACAATATCAACTTCTTATTCGTTGAATCATGAATCAAAACATCTTGAAAAAGGTTCACTTTCCGTATTTCACGGTATAGTATTGGCTACATCTGCTATGGCGCCAGCATTAGCTGTTGTGCTCAATGCACCAGCAGCCGGTTCAAAGGCTGGTGCTGCTTTACCATTGTCGTTTTTATTAGCATTTATTGCCTGCTTATTTGTTGGTAATACAATTATACAATTTTCTCGTAAATTATCATCAGCAGGCTCATTTTATACATATAATAGTTATGGATTCGGTTCAATTGGTGGCTTTTTTACTGGTTGGTTATTATTTATTGGTTATAGTATTGTAACACCGGCTCTTTTTACCGTATTTGGTTCATTTATTGAGGATTATATACATAAAAGTTTTCATACATATATACCATGGTGGATATTTAGTCTGATTGGTTTAATTTTAGTTATAATTCTATCTATTCTTGGTATAAAAACATCCTTACCCTTAGATTTAACTTTATTAATAGTACAAATTATTGTATTTATTATTTTATCGACTATAATTATTATTAAAGCGGGAAATAAAAATAATTTGGGTGTATTTTCACCATTATTGTCAGTAAATAGTTTTTCTGGTGTCGGATTCGGTACTGTATTTGGCATACTTTCATTTATTGGTTTTGATGCACCTGCTACGTTGGGTGAAGAAATGTGTAAACCAAATCGTACAATACCAATGGCTATTGGTGGTTCATTGATTCTTGTTGGTCTATTTTATATTTTTGTTTGTTATTCATTAAGTATTGGTTATGAATTAATGGATCCAATTCATTTACAAATATTTATGAACGATAGTAATCCATTTATTACATTGGCACGTGAACAAGGTCGTTGGTTGGAACATATTGTTAGTATTTGTGCTGTTATTGGAATATTTTCTTGTTTTCTTGCTATTCATAATACATCTGTTCGTATACTATTTTCAATGGGACGTGATCGTATATTACCACATATATTGAGTCGTGTACATCAACGTTGGTTTTCGCCATATGTAGCCATATTAATTCTGTCTGTTTTTACACTTATTGTTGGATTACCGATTGGTATGTGGTTAGGTCCGGGTGTATCAGGCTGTTATGGTTTTACTAGTACTATTGGAGCACTTGCCATTATTATTGTATATATGGCTAGCAATATTTCACTCATATGTTATACATTACGTACAAAACAATTCCATTGGCTATGGAATGGTATTCTACCTATACTTGGATTTCTAGTACTTCTTTACCCGTTATGGTCCATTGGACGACCTGGTCAATCATATCCATATAATATTGTACCATATGTATTATTAATATGGCTATTTTTTGGAGTTATTCTTTTTCTTTATTTTTTCTTTCGTTCTCCTGAAAAGCTTAAAGCTATTGGATCAATGTTTGATGATAATCAAAGACCGCAAACTGATCAGGCTCAAAGTGTGTTATCTACTATAGAATAATTTTCTTAATGTATCCTGTAATATTTTTTTAAAGAGTTTATATCAAACCTTCATTTTGTTTAACTAGTTTTTTGTTAGAACATTTTTTATATTTTGTTGGTCTAGATTATAGAAAAGTTCAGGTAGATTTCAAAATTGTCTTAAATCACCCATGCAACATCACCCATGAGAAAAATATACATACATTTCGTCTACAATTGGGCGACAACTTGTTGCCGCCTAGATTTAGTGATGGGCCGTCGTGTAGTCGTTAAACATGAGTATTGATTGATAGATGACGAAAGGAAGGAAAGGAATAAACATTACGGTATCGCTATATAAGTAATAAACGACTATAGTCGTTTATTACTTGCATGGCATTTCGCTATATTCGAATATAACGGCCTGTTCTGTGCCTTACGTCTAAATTTAGAGTTCACATACTTGATAACTAACGGAAAGGAAAGAAAACGAAATGTTACGTAAGAAACGGGAAAAACAAAATGGTAGCTTAACATCTAAACGAAATATGGGATTCTTAACGTAAGAAACAAATTAACGTTAAGTTTTATAGGACAAATGATTACGCTAAAGAAATGAAACGATATGAAATGAACAGGAAGAAAATACATCGTCTTATCCACAGTGCTCTACTATCATGCCTAGCTGAGAATGACTCACTTACGTTATCTCGTTAAGGATGATTCACTTACGTTAAGAATTTCGCGTAATATACGTAACTCCTTCGAGTTTCCTACGGTAAGAAAAGCATTTTCCTTAACGTCGCACGTTATGTTTTCTCTTTCCTTTAATTTTATCGTCATCCGTGATCTATACTATACATGTATAGGTCACGAGAGACGAAAGAATAGATACTAGAAAATTAACGCTTCTTGGGCTTACGCCGCATCACTATCTAGATTACTAGTTGAAAAAGAGACTTTTAACTAGATGCATCTTCATATGTAATCAACAATAGTTAAACCGATCAATTATCAACCAATTTACTGATGTTATTTTAATTATACAAAAAGCTCGTACGATGATGCGCACGTTAATGCAATTCAAATAGTACAATGATTAACATTAGAAGTGAATTAGATGGCAAGCAACCCATATAAAAATAATATAGCATTTAACGCGATTAACCTCGTTAAATTACGTCTTAACGCAGTTTAACGTTCAACATCTCAAGAACTTTCTTTAATTTTCGAACATCCATGAAAACGCGTGAAAACTTCCATGAATTTTCACACGTTTCATCATTTTTAACCATGTTCTAAGCGTTTTTCATCGTTAAATCAAGCACTCGTTTTAACGCGTGCATTTTATTCACGCGGTTTTACGAGTTTCACGGTTTTTAACGATACTCTTAGCGTTTTTCATCGTCTAATCGTACACGAGTTTCAATGTGCTTTCACGGTTCGTGTAATTTTTAACGACACTTGGGACGTTTTGCATCGTAAAATCATGAACTTTTTGTAATGCGTTAATATTATTAACGAATTTTCATGAGTTTCACTGTTTTAAGGATGCTTTTCGCGTTTTTCAGAAACTTTGAGTTCGCTTTTAACGCGTGAATTTCACTAACGCCCCGCCACGAATTTAACCGCGTCCTATAACGTTTTCAATGTTTGACTTGTGCAACTAGAGTTTTGAATTTTAGTAGAAAGTCACTCTATGTGTTGTATAGTTCAAATGTGTGTGCAGACTCGTTTTAAATACAGTAAAACCTCCCACTGTGAACACCTCCTTATAATGAAATTGCTGAAAATGGACCTCTTTAAAGTGATCTGTGAACATTCTTTTTCATACCCGACACCTAGAACGAACGAACGAACGAAAAAGTGAAGTTTTTAAACTTTTCTGGGAATTAAGAATGTATAATGACTACTCTGCAACTTGACCAACTTTTTAACACTAGAACGCCGCATTTTGATCGTTTTGTGATTTTTATCCTTAATAAAACAAACTGCCTACAATTTATTTAAAAATAAATTATATCATAACTTTTAATTTGTCCCACAAAAATTATTTTCTGCAGAATTTTTAATTCATTTTTTAATTCAGAACCACTTTAAGTATAAAATTTTTAAAAAAAACAGTAACGGTCAAAATGACCGCTTTGGGCGTTCTAGGTCATGAAAATTTTCAGGCGTTCTAGTGTTAACCAACTGCTTAATTGAAACTTTAAAACAGAATGATCGTCTGAACTAAAGAACGTTATTTAAATATTTTGGTTATAACATTAGACTGATTCATAGTTCGAATGAAGGATCCTGAAGCACCAATAGACTAACCAGAAAATTCTGTGACTTTCTTGCGGGCAATGTAAAAGAAAGTTTTTTCATAGCGTCAGTTCAATGAAAGGACCGGTGTACTGAGTTTTCGAAATTTGCCAACACTATGTGTGCTCCGTCATGTATACGTGAGTGGACGGGAAGAGGCGTATCCTCAAGGATCAGTTAGGTTCAACAGTAAGAAGTACGCTTTGATACAAGTAGAAGTTCTTGGTAGTGATAAAGTACATCATATGCCTTAATCCAAAATTGGTCGGTTTTGGTGAAAGCGTCTTGCATTTGAATCTCGCTATTACTTCATTCTATTGAAAAAAATATGCCATCAAGTCCTATTCATTATTGGATAATTTAAACGGCTTCTCGTTTAATTAATAAATCTCGTTTAAGTATCGGTCATTTCATCTATCTCGACGTATATCAAGATTTCAAGCTCGCGTACTAATCTTATAGATCACGGTAAACGAAACTCTTTCTTCGCTCATCATTTGAAGAAATCATGAATTAGAACTAAGAACTAAAGAAAGAGTTTATGAATGTGTGGAGAGTGCCATTATAATTAGTAAAAAAGCTAAGTTGGTTAAAATCGTCATTTTGTCACAGTGACGTCTTGTTTTCCAATAAATTATGAAACATATATTTAACGCTTTTATATGGTCAGCAGTGCATTCTGACTGATCGAGACATATGCCTTTTAAAGATTTTCGTCCCAAGCTCTGTAGATTTTGTTTGCTGACTGTGTGAGCAAATCATACTACTCGTTGGGATTTGTCTCAACCAGGATACAAGTTCAGTCAAGGTCTGGAATCAAGACCAATATATAGTGGAATCTTCCTACCATCGCAAATGAGTTTCGAACATGAAGTCGATGCTGAAGTAGGCGTTTCGACTGTGTGGTGTGTAGGAATAGTGTGCTTGTTTTCGAAATTTTTGTGTCTTCTATTATTGATTATTTATTCATCTTCTTTGCTTTTTTGTTTTTTTCGTCAGATCGTGGGTACTAATTTTTTCTTGTTGATTTTATGTAAATCGAGACGAATGCGATCGTATAAATCTGATTGCGTTTAAAAAGTTCATTTGCGGTGAAAAGCACAAAACGCTTCAGGTATTTCCTAATTGTGATGCTACACATTGTTGGGCACTGTGTAGAGAAAAATGCACTCGTTTTAAAATCTTTTGACTCGTGTCCAAAACGTTTCTAACATATGAGAAGTGTGAAATCTCATCTTAGAGCAGGATAAAGACTAGAGAGAAGTTGTTAAATCGATCATATAACACTTCTATGTACTATCACTGCCAACTGGTAGTGAATGACCTTTTACTCGTACGACTTTTTTAAATAAATGAATTCTCAACTGCCGTGTTTTTTCTTTTTTCAAAAAAAAAATTATAACGATAAGCGGAAAAGGCTAATAAGGGCAAACAAAAGAATCCGAAGTGATAGAAATAAAAGACGAATGATTAAAAATACTATTTATAAACTTACGGTTTGTTACGGAAGTCCTACTCACGATCTTTCGCGAGTTTTTTGCATAAAACGGAAGAGCATTATGACAGTAGTATATCTGACTCTTAATTTTCGTTAATTCATTGATATGAGCAAGTATGTGGTGAAAAGTTGCTTGTTTTTAGTGTAGCAGCTAATAGGGTGCCCCCGAGAAACGGCATCACCAAAGTGGGCTGACAGCGTTGTTTCCTGTAACCACAGGATAATCCATCGAACTTTGATGGGTCTTACTTGGTTAAAGTAGCGTAGTTTTCTTCGCTAAACATGATTATATCATTGAAAAAATTGAGAAATCATGTTTTAGTTTAAGAGCTTTCTGTAAACTTTTGCGGAAAACCGTAGGGTTTTGTAAATTCTTATTTATAGGTTTCTTACAAATGAAATACAAAATAGTCTAAGTACTGTATATTCTGAGGTATATGTTTTCTCAACATTTTGTGAAAATAGGTGATCATCAGAATACTTTAATAGAATATTCACCGCTACTTCTGCCTGTCTTTCAAGTTCGTAAGTATCTGTGCAGAAGGAAGTTTCTCGTGTTCTTGAGATTACCATGGCTAAATCATCGGCATCTGATGTCCTGAGGTTTCCAACTTGTTCTTTGGTCTTCTGGGTTAATGGTGAATTTTTTAATATTATGTGAGAAGAGTCTGGAAATTCTAATTTTCGTCAAACTTGGTTTTCACTGGCATATAGTATTCGCAATGCTATTTGATTTAAAATCATCCGCGTGAATTTTGGAGCGGAACGAGATCGGGCGTGAGCTTCACACGATGGATCAAAATAGCTGGGAAAAGGCAAAATTTTTGCTGAGACAGTAAAACATCAATGACTTTTTTCCGCAAGAGCTACAGACCGGCGGTTTTCGTCAATAAATTCGGCGCATCACGCTCTACAAAATCTATGCTATCTTGCTGCTAGCGCCGAGATTCGATGCAATTGTGGTATGTTTTACGTGGTTCTTCTATTTTGTTGCTTAAAAATGTTGTAAGGGCGCTTACAGAGCGATGTTTCAGATCTATTCCTTCCTTTTACATATAGTAAAATGTTTTCGGTTACTGGGCTTGTAGTTTTTGAGGTAAAATTTGGTCATTCAAGAAATCAGTTTTCAGGAGGAGAACGGTTCTGTCATCAGCAAAAAATAGATTTCTTGAACGACCAAATTTTATCTCAAAAATATTAAGAGGAGCCCGTAAAATTCTCTATTACATGAGGTATACGTCAATTTTGTTCGTTAGGTAGTTATTGGACAAACCCCGCTTTATTAGACTAGAGTAGCATTAGTTAATGACAAGTAATATTAATTTTCATAAAAAAGAAAGGAAGAACACAAAGGCTTACTTGCTTCAAAAGTTATGAAAGTTATGTAACTTTTCGTAATAGCCCTAAATTCAGTCTGTTAATACGGATAAAGTTATTTATTGGTAAGACTTTATAAATCCCTGTACAAAAAAATGTTCAGGTTTTTGAGAATATCCTCATGTTTTTCAAAGAGTTCAATGTAAATTACGCGGCCAGATAAAATGTCGAATTCTAAATAACATGATGTGCTATTTAATCTTTTAGGAATAAACCTACACGATTCATAATCAATCCGATTTTCGAGCCTGAGAAGGTTGATGATTTCAGGGCACAACTTGTCCTTTGACTGGATGGCTAGGGTCTTACGAGAGAAGGTCCTCAAGCGTCGGATCGCTTTTTGCGCGAAATATACATGGTTGTAGCTAGTTTTCGACGTTGATCGTGAATATGATATTTGTATGGATTTTTGGAGTGGACCTCTCGAAAATTGGCCTCTACAGCTCCCTGCTTACAGCCAAGATGGAAAGATTTCGATATATCTGTCTTTTAGAGCTTGTCGAGTTATCTTTATGAAAATGTTTCCAGACCCAAAGAGTTTTCGATGACTTGAAAAGGGTCTGCATGTCGATTTTACCGCAAAGCATCGACGTTTCACGTATTTTTAAAATGAAATTACCTGATCTCATCCAAACTCAGTCTTTAGGTTTGAACATTTTTTCAAACAAGTAAGTAGACTTGCTCTACGAACTAGATATATCACAGTCTCTTCATCTTAGATTTTAGAATAGACCTCAAGAAGTCGGTTTTCCGGCGATCCATGTCAAAAGTCCTTTTGAAGTCAAATGAATATCGTATTCATGATCCGCGTTGGAAATTATGTATAAACATGCATGCTGCGAGCAAAAAGCGGCTGGATACTTGAGGTTCTCTCGTTAGAGATATAATTGTCCGTGTGTGTGTTTGTCTGGGTCTGCCAAGCGAGTCATCGATTGACGTTTTGAGTGAATAGGCTCATTCGATTATAAGCGAGAAGAGGCTTAAACATCGAAAATATCGATAGTTAGCGGGCGTAGGAAGCTTATCGACATAGAAACAAAGCAGTAAGTTTAATGGATTTTTTGTCGTCAAAAATAGCATATCTGAGTAGAATGAGCACTTCAAGTGGCAGTATCTTCGCATAGTAGACGATGGATCTTTTGCTCCAGAGCTGTGTAGGTCTAGTTTTTGTGTTGCATCGGCAGATGTCTTGTCTTCCAACAAATTGTGACTGATTTATAGTTTTTCTTTTCTTTACTGACTGCTGGTCTATTATTCAGTTATTTGACGCGGGCGAATTAATTTTTTTTTTTAAACTATATTTATTTTTCATATTTATCAAATCGAAGACACATCAAAAGAGCTCTAATGCCTCAGAGGAAGAGAGCAAGAGTTCTTGAATCATTGCATGTGGAATTCATGGCAACTTAATCTTCTTTTTGGCACCATTTCTGATTACTAATTTATAAAATACATCGTCAACTACTGTCATATCTGATTTATGCATTCCATTTTTCATTTTCTCAATTTTTTCTTGTATAATTACATCAGTTGTTTGTGCTTGCTTAATTCTATCCATATCAAAATTGATTAACAAATTCGATAACTTCATGGGATCGTTTACTTCAGAATCAATTTCTTCCTTGTCATCTTTACGTGTATCTGCTATTGTTGTTGATTTGATATTCAATTGTTTGGCTTGTAGTCTTGTCATGGGTCTTTTTATTGGCGGTGTTGCTGATAGGCATGCACCTGTTGCTGTTATAACAGATACAACAGAAACAGTTATAACAGTAGCACTTCGTAACAGTGACAGTTACAACAGGAAGGGATATTGTTATAACAGCAACAGTTAGAACAGCTGACGTTTTGCGACAAAAAAGAGTAAAATCTTTTGGCTACCCTACGACTGTCTGGAAAGTGCTTAATTACTGTCTATCTATCTATTATATATATATATGATGCGTCGAAAGAGCTACGTCAGAAACGAAAGAAGAAAAGAGAAATTCTCTAACGACTGTAGCGAAAGAAACACATACACGAAATTATGAAATAATGTACATTCCATCTCAGTTTGGAATACAAAGAAAAGACATAATCGGATAGCCGTAAAGAAAACAAAATTACGTAATTCCTTCGTTTATTTTGTTTCATGTGATTTCGGTGCCATCACTATATATATAAAAGCACTAGCGTTTTTAAAAAGAATACATTTTTTTTATTTTCTAAATGAGTTTCCTAGACAGAGTAACACAGTAGTATTTCATTATCCTATATAGTAATGGAAAAGCAGGATAGCAACGATTCTAACAGATCGAGTATTAAACGACGACCTCAGTTTAGTCGAATTTCAACAACATTAGTTTCTGAAGATGAAGTTGAAGATAATTTAGATGAGACTAGTTCAACAAAAAATAATTCAAAAGATACACCGACCTCGCCACCTACATCTTCCAGAAAACCTTCATATGTGTGGAGTCATGCTACGAAACTCAATGCTAAACAAGCACAATGCAATATTTGTCAGAAAATTATCTCTACTTCTGGTGGCTCAGTAATTACTTTTAAAGCACGTTTAGAAACTCACGAAATAAAAGGTCCTTGCAGCACACAATCTACATTAAAAAAATCAGCTATTCCATTAGTTCAAAAGCGGATATTGGATGCTATTGCCATTCAGTGTATTATCGAAGACGGACGATCATTCTCAGATCTAAGAAAAGCCGGAATGATGAAACTACCTGATGCTCTCTATTGCCGGTTATATCGCTCCGCATCGGAACACAATTCAGCGTAATCTAGAAGGACTGTATAACTATCATTATGCTAAACTAGCTCAACAACTAAAAGAAGTTAATTATATTTCATTCATCTGTGATTTTTGGTCGGATAGACGGCTTCAGTCATATCTTGTAATTACAGGACATTTTGTTGATGTTAATTTTAAACTAACATCTAAAATTATTTGTTTTACTTAGTTTCGACATCGACATATGTCGAAAACGATCGCGGAAACTATTATCGAAAAACTGAAAAATCTCGGCGTCTATGAAAAAACCACAGTATAACGTGCGATAACGCCTCGAACATGGTTAAAATGTTTGATCCACTACGTGACGGTGTAACACGTCTCGGCTGTATAGCTCACAAATTACATTTAGTACTTTGTAATGCATTATATTTGTGGACTAAACCACAGAAACAACGACGACGACTGCTAGTACTAATAGTGCACGACGAACAACTAGTAAAGATAATACTTTTCTGCCTTAACTGCTGCAATTTCTGGACCATCGGTAACTGTTGATGGTAGTGATTATTCGGACGGAGAAGATAACGAACAACATGCTGACATTGACATGGAAAATTTACTTTTAGATGACAATAGCAGTGATCGAAGCGACGGTACACCACCATTGAACAATCGTACGTCTCCAGATCGGGATGATGAGCTTTTGGATACCGAAGAGAGTGGCGGATATAAAGAAATACAGTTAGATGACGTCGATGATCCATCTGTTACAGAAGATAACTGGGCAGTCGATGTACACGTCGACGAAATTAATATTTCCGAAGACTTTCAACGATGTATAGCAGTTTGATGAGAAAAATTCGCGGGATAATAACGACGATTAAAAATCTTCCATCTTAACTGCTTACGTTGATAACGAAAAACTAAAACACGAAATTAGACGCAGTCTCAGCCTCGACGTACGCACAAGATGGAATTCTACCAGCTATATGCTGAATACGTTCTTAACTTTTAAACCAGTAATCGTTAACTTACATAGCGAAAAGTATAACTTAAAATTAAAAACTGATCAGCGACTTCGTTTAGCTGGATATGATCTGTCAGCTGACACTTGGAATAAACTATCTACCGTTCAGTCAGTTCTGGAAATCTTCGTCGCAGCTACAACAACTATGTCCGCTTCATCCTATCCAACAGTCGTAATCGGATTGTTTTTTATTCGTCGTATTAAAGCACATTTGGAACCTTCTACAGATACGCCGATGATTAAAAGTTTAAAACAACAATTACTCAGTCAAATGACTTATTATTTCGAAAGTGATCCGGAACAATTTGATGCGCTTAAACTAAGAGCATGATTCGATCCGATAGCTCCTGATGTAATGACCACGAAAGAAAAAGTAACCTTAGAACGAGAAATAAAAAGTATTTCAAAAAACCTATTGGATAACGCCAATACAGTTCCACCACCAATTACGGCGACACCTAATAATGCTACATCTAATATTAGTCCGTCGTCGTCGTCTACACAAGGCAGTACGTCATCTGGAAAACCTGAAGATCCGATGAAATGGTTTTTAAGACTAACGGGGCAAGAAAATTCGTCAGAATCGAAACAGAAACCTACTTCCATCGCAGATGAAATAGCCTTATACAGTAGTATGGCACAGAAAAAAAATGCTATTGCGTTAAAATCGGAATCGCTAAGCTTCTGGTCGAAACAAGGAGACGAATTACTATTACTTAAAGAATTAGCATCGAAATACTTAACAACTCCTGGAACCAGTGTTCCCTCAGAATCTGTGTTTTCGGTTGCCAGTTTTGTTGGAAGAAGAGAGAGAGCTCGTTTGACAGCAAAAAATCTCTCATATTTAGTGTTTCTTAAAGAAAAGATTTAATAATTTCTCGTTTTTTTAAATTTTATTGTTAATGTTGACAAGCCGATAAAAGGCGATTATGTTTTCCTTCGGTCCGGGAGACATTGATTTGTGTGACGACTTAAAAAAGCTTAAAAAAACCCTCTTTCACTATTATCGTTACTGGTGAGTCGGTTCGCCAACTGGTTTAGGTAGAAGAGAGGATCCAAAAACAATAAAAACATTTTAGAAAACAAAAAAAGCACAAGGTTTAAAAACGCCTCTTTTCTAAGGATAAAGTCTCTCCCTTCCTCGACAGCCTAATCGACGTTTGTAAATCTATTTCATTAATTTAACTGATGCGATGTGGTCAGGCTATCAAGTTTCAACGCATGCCAAAGTCGTGCAGTTCATCCTCCACTCACCCACAACTCCTCGTTGCAATAAAAATGCAAGCTTCAGACTTACCAAAACCGTTTTCTCTTCAAAATTTTACCATGTTTTCCATCTGCTACACAATTATTATAATCAATTACCTACAATCAAAGACAGCGTCTTTACATTTCTTACCTATCACAGAAGAGCTGATGTGTCAATGCACTTACATAGCATATGAAACACTATAGCATACGATAACAGTTAATGAGAGACAATCAAAGACTAGAGATTTAATTTCAACATTATTGCAGATAAGTTATGCTGGTCATCGAACTGTCTACTTCCACAACGTTCAACTTGATCGAAACCTAATCCGTTAACATATGATCGATGGTGTCATTTTGTATTATGTTTCTTAAGGCGAACGTGCACGGGTGAAAGAACTTGCTATTACTTGTAACTACCATTGACTTATAGTTTTAGAGAAAACTTAATAGCACATATAGTTTAACTTGAAAGACGGTCGATTTACGTAATCTTACATTGACAAAAGTGCATGCTCAGCCAAATTACAAAGCCACTACTGCACTTTTCCTTGACCACTTAAAATCGAAAACTTTTTCTTTTACGCCGAAATGTATCAGCATTCATTTTTGACTGAAATGACACGCATCGCTTGTGTCAACTGTTATAACAGGTGCCTGTTTCTGTTGTGAACTGTTACTGTTACGAACTGTTTCTGTTAACAGCAACAGGTGCATGCCTAGTTGCTGACTGTGCTGTGTTATTTACTCTAGCTCGTGTTATTACATTACATTGTTGTTGTATTTCTTGTACATCTTGCTGTTGTTGACTATCGTTACTTTGTTTCAGTAATCGTGCGTCATTTTCTTGATCGAATAATTCGATTTTCATATATCTTGATAATAAATCTGGACCACAATGACATTTCCCTTTTTTATATTTAATTTCGGTTATATCATATTCGGCTAATTCCAATGACCAGCGATCAGCCCGACCATTTTTAGACGTTTTTTTATGGAAGTTACATAGTGGACAATGATCTGTTTCCACGGAAAATTCTCGTCCCTATAAATACGGCTTTAATTTGTCAATTGCCCATACTATCGTTTTACACTCTTTTTCTGTTGTGCTGTATTTTTGTTGTGCTTTATCAAATGTTTTCGACAAATACTTAATAACTTTTGGGCCATGTAGTGTCATTTGTCGTAAGATTGCACCCAAATCAATGCCTGATGCATCAGTTTCTAACACCAGTTTTGATTCGTCATCTGGAAAATGTAATAACAATGGTGGTGTGGTTAAGTTTTCTTTTATTGTATTATAAGCTATTCGCTCTTTATCACCGCATACCGATTTATTAAATACAGCATTCTTCTTTGTAAATTTATATAGTGGTGCGGCAGTTTTTGCGAAGTCTTTTATAAATCGTAGATAGTAAAAATTCCAAAAAATGTCGGGACTACATATTCGTGATCAGCGAAAGAAACTACATCGAATGAGGTATAAAAAAGCGAAATCTAAAATCCGTTAAAACCTTGCCTTAGCGGCACCTTACCTATTGAATATTCGAAAAGACCGACGACAAATACAATCAATACAGACCACATCACATCGGCAACGTCATCGCCAAATGATTCGTCTCGTGTTTGCACAAACATCTATTTTCATACTTCTCTTATTACCATTAACAATTGCATCACTCATGAACTCATTTGTACCAACAACAGTAATAAGTCAACCAATGCAAATCCATTTAAGAAGGTTAACCTCACTTGTCTTGTACTTAATATGATTAACAGTTTTTATTTGAACACATTAACATCGACCACCTATCGCAATAATGATTTGAGAGGAAAATCATACAAATACAGTTATCATTTTCCTCTCAAATTATTATCAGATTAGAGAACCGCATATGTCGATTGTTTGCGGATTTTGCATATTAAAGTCAACTGATAAATTATCTTTGACAGTTGAGACGAAAAACCGCTACGGCTACATCCCTAGTCTAAAGTCACTTCACTTCAGTCTAAAAACCCACTTCACTTCAGTTCAAGCTCCGCATAGGAGAAAAATGCAATAACTGGGAAAGTGTACGGGTCTCGGTCATGAAAATGGTACAGTGTAGATAATCGACCATGACGAATCAGAAAATGGTTAGGATTGGTATCAATCCTAAATGGTCACTGGCGGGACTGGTACCAAGCCTAACTGGTAACAAGCCTGACTGGTACCAATCCTGATTGTACCAGTACACCAATCCTAAGATTGGAACTGGTGCATATCTACCTTATGGTGATTAGGGATGTACGGTAACCGGTAAATCAGTTTACCGCTACCGCGGGAAATTTAGTACGGTAAAAAATTTTTTACCGTTACCCACTGAAAAAAAAACTGGACAAAATTCTGAGAAATCTCGCGAGAATCGAAGCGTGGTTCTCGCGAAGAAAAGTTCTGCGTTTCGTCTGATAAAAATGCGTGTTTTTCTCCCCAAAAGATCTCGCGAGGCAGAAACACGCATTTTTATCAGACAAAACGCAAAATTCTTTTGTGAAGAGACCTTTTGAGATGGAAATCCTGTAAGATCTCGGGAGATTTTATGAAAAAATTTTAAAAGGGTGTTCGCGACCTTCTTGTAGGACCTCACGTATATTTTTCTCACATCTGGCAGGATTTATAGTTACAATTTTCTCGGGAGAACTCACATGGTTGTATGTTTTTTTATCATTATCTCGCATGGTAAAGTTTTTCTTGGTTTATAAGACGAACACTGTGCAGTTAGACTAGCTTGCGCTTGTGCATATTTGGTTAAAAGTGCTATTTATATTGTTTATATTTGATACCGCGGTAATCTCGCTTTTCGGTAAATTCATCTTACCGTTACCGCGGTAAATTTCGTACGGTAAGAACTCTTTTACCGTTACCGATTTTTTGTCTCGGTAAGAGAACTATTACCGTTCATTTTTCCGGTAAATTTTTTTACCCTTGTCTCGTTTCAATAAATGTTGTTTGCTTCAGAAAGGACCGTATATTATATAATCGGCCTAGAGGTAGGGAGTTAGCGGAAATACAGATTTTGATTTTCTTAAGTAAGAAGAAGATCGAACATATCTAAAAAACTACCTATATTATATTTGAATGACTCTAATGTTTGTGTGTCCAAATGTTCTTCACACAAATGAATAAAAGTAATCTGAGCCATGAACAACGGTTCAAATTTCGATGCTACATATTCTTTTTCTATTCTAAAATATCGTCTATTAGAATTAATTAAAGTTTGTTTTTCAGGAACATACTATACCTAAACCCATTAGCTTTGAGATTAACACGATTCTGCATTAATCGTCCAGATATACTAAACGCTCACCCTCACCCTCACCTAAACGCAGAATGCATGAATTTATATCACCGCATGGTCAGAATTAGAAGGGAATAAAGAAATAAAAACAAAATAAA